CAAGTATTAAGGAATGGATGCTCAAGGTCTGAATGTTAGTTAGTTTGAAAAAGTGGACTTCGTTTTCCTTATTATAGGAAAAGGATGCTAATGGTAATGGACGCTATCTATTTGGCATGCTTATCTTTTGTTAGTAGACTTCAATACCCCAAAACGCGTGAGAAGGAGGGGTTACTTCCATGCATTTGGGGACCCAAAGCGATGAAGATCTGGCTGCAAAGAATAAAGTGCACCAACAGAGATGAATCTAAATGGCATAAAGCATATACAACAGACTCTGCAGCGATCACTTTCCTGCCGAATGCATTCAAGATAAGTGCGACGGGGGATAACATTTCTGCGAGACAATGCTGTCCACTCATATTTAAAGCTACCCAGGTCATTTGAAGCCGGTAATTATGCTCAAATTATGTAACGCTACTTCAGGTTTACGTAAGCGTGGAATAAAGTTTGCGGTTTCATAGTTCTCCTTGTTCAACTGTCATCTTGCAGCCAAATTACTGTCTCGAGCTCGGACTTTATCCGCCAATTAACGAAGAAGAAAGAAACACCTCCTATGGAAGATCCGTTTCCAATCACAGCCGATAAGGGGTCTAGCTGTGGTGAGCACTTGATGGCTGAACATGCATACAGACATCCTCAAATGATGACTTATTAGGGAAGCTCAGGAGCGCATCGCCCAGATGGGAAAAAAAAGTTGCAGAAGACGAAACTGTAGTCAACAACCAAGTCTGCATCTGTGAAGGACATCGTTCGCAGACTGAAAAAGGAACGTTTTGTTCCAAATTACAAGGCTCAACTAATCCAGGCAAAGTTCACAAACCTGCAGTTTTAACTTGCAAACAGTTCATCTTTTAACTCCAATCGACCATATGGCCCAGGGATAAGGAACTTTGCATTGTATATGTACTACTGCTTGACAAAAGCTTACGAATTCAACATTATGAAAGCTAGTTCATGTTTCTTATTATTACTGTTGTGATTTTATTAATGTATTTGTAAACAATGCCTGGCAAATGTAAGATCGCAAGACAGAATTATTTACAGGAATTCAAATAGCAATCCTTATTGACTACAACAATGATCCGAAAGCTTCATTTTCAGCTGTGGTGTACAATAGCCATGCAATCCGCCCCGAGCTGAAGTGCACCCCCAATCGGCGAAAGAAAGATAGGTGGTTACAAGTAGGTTCTTGCACGCGTTCTGCGTGTACGCAAAGACCATACAAGCCGGAATAGAGTACCGAAGTGAATACGCCACGCGCGCAATTACTGTTACTGTTAGCATTAGCGCAAGAACCAGCGCGTGAACCAACACGCGTGCGTACTCCGTTTGCACTGCATTTTTTGGTCGAGTTCGGGCGGCCTGTTCTTAACACGGGTTTCTTGTTCTCGCGCTCGAACGGTGGGAACATGACCCAAGCACACTGTTCTCAAAACAGGTTCACACACCACCTCCTCGTCAGTGTTTTACACGGGAAAACTCGTGAGATTTGATTTTTGAAAAGCTGCAAAACTATCGAGATGGCTTACAAAACTGGAGACAATGGAAAGTTTTGCACAAATTAACATCAATAATTTTCCATGACAGATCTGATTTTTTTATGGAAAAGAAGTTAGCTCAAACATTAACGTCACTTAGGTTTAAACCATGCCCACTGCACATGCACTGCACACAGAGTTACATGCATTGATCGCCGTTTACATGACACCATGGAACCGGACGTTAACGCGCAACGTCAGCGATCGTCCAATGGAAGCCTGCAAATCGTAGCGCGTCCGCCTTTGTGACGAAGTCACTTACGAACCGGATCCGGTGTATGTGCAGTGCACGTGTGCAGTAGGCGTGGCTTAAACTGAAGTGACGTCACACTTGCGAAACTGATAAATTAGTTATGCTTCACGTAAGATCATGAGGTGTACTCTGCATACTATGCATGAGCGCATCGATAACTCGAGCAACACCAGTGATCGGTGCCGACGACATCTTTATGATGTCACCGATGGCCGTACGGCTTACATCATCAGGGGCATAATTCACAATCTAAATCACAAACTTCATGCGGCTCTCGAAGCAACCAAAACCAAGAAAATAAAATCTAAGTACCCAAAGCTCAAATCAGACAAATCTCATTGTACGCCCACGTCAAAAACAACGTTAAACCAAAGAGTTTGGTAGTTATCATCCCACCAGATCTTCCCCTAACTGACGGCCAACGTTTTGTCCTGGAGCGTGGACTGAATTTCATCCCTCTGACGAACCGATAGGACGAGTTCACCACCCGTCAAGACGTCGAGAAGTTCTTCCGCGGTCTGCGTTTGCGAGCCTTCTTCCACGACAAGGATTCAAGGTCAGTACGTTCTGATTCGGGTACGTCTACTTGGAATGTAGACTTGTCTAAGGTCATTGCTAAGCTTGCGCCCACCAAGTCCACGTGGTGTCCAGCATTCGGTCTTAACAAAACCCTCGACCACGTCATTGAAAACTGCCGCGCGGAAATCAAACGTCTTAAATTCAAACCCAGCCCCAAGCGCATCAACATCTCATCGGCTGAACGCGAAGCACTCAGATCTCTTAAGAACGATGATTCCATCGTCATTAAGAGGGCGGACAAGGGAGGCGCTACGGTGGTAAGGACTAGTATGTCGCTGAAGCGGAACCTCAACTGTCTGACGTTTCATCCTACGCTAAGGTTGACCGCGATCTCACTCAACAGCATCAAGATATTGTTGCTAGCACTGTCAGTAGTTTCATTGACTCAGGTGACCTCCCCCATAACGCAACCAGACTAGTTGTTCCCAACCCACGCACGGCATATGCAGCAAGG